TGTGAGCTCAGGGTGCTTGCTGCTTCCCACTGCTGGCAGCCTGCAGAGACCCAAACAGGGCAGAAATTCTGTGAGCTCAGGGTGATTGCTGCTTCCCACTGCTGCCCTTGCTGCTGGGGGCACAGAGACTGAGCAGGGGGGTCTCTGGTGTTGATGAATCTGCACCCCCAGGTTTCTGGGTGCTGCCATCCTCCTGAGCTGCTCTGGCCTTCCAGCTGGGTGCCCAGGTGTATTTTCCTGCCTGCCACAGTGGCACTGAGCAGGAGAGCTGTGCCCAGCCATCCCCAGTGTTCACATGGCCAGGCCAAACTCACTCCTCTCTCCCCTGCAGAAGGGACAGGCTGGGTTACTCCTTGCTGTGATCAGAGCAGCACTCCAGCCTTGGTTTGGTGTTAAATATAAGTAAAACCTTACAGAAGAAAGGCCTTGTAAAACCTAGTTTAGGCCTTACTAAGAGAGTATGAGTATTCTGATGGGAACTTATCTAGCTGAGCTAGCCTGATAAGTTCCCATAAGAATAAAATCCTATAACAGTGAAAATCTGCTTATTCTCCTAAAAAAGAATTCCAAGGCTGTAACTGTTAGCAGCACCTGTAAAAACTGTCCTGAGCCATTAAAAGAAAAATGCAAACAATATCTAGAAAGAGACACAAGCATGCAACCACCTCTAGTGAAGTAAGCAATCAGACAAGGTAACAAGTAGTTACCAACCAACTAGAATTAGGAACAATACTTGTAGAAAAGTCTGTAAATTCAGGCTATACTTTATATTTTTTATTTATATTAAATATTATTATATTAAATATTATTTATTTTAAATGCTTTGTATTTATTATTTATATTAAATAATAATATCTATTATATATAATTATATATTAAATATTTATCATTAGTTTTCTTATTAATTTATGATTAGTTCATTTCTTTCACTGCTTGAAGAAGAGTGTGCCTCATCAGCCTCTAACCTGAGCTCACAGTGACAGTTTGGTCACACTGGGAGGGGCAGAGGAGTCCCAGAATGCTTTTTACTCCTATTTTACACCCTCCTTTCTCATCCTCTTCCCCTGGCAGCAAATGTACATTGCCTTTGTGAAGAACTCCAGGTTCACCTCTCCCAACGTGCTGCCCATGATCAACTTCATGCAGAGGACACTGACGGAGATGCTGGCCCTGGACAGCGCCGCGTCCTACCAGCACAGCTTCATCTACATCCGCCAGCTGGCCATCCACCTGCGCAGCGCCATGACCCTCAGGAAGAAGGTGGGCACCCTCCTCATCTTCATCTTCATCCTCATCCTCCTGGGGCTCTGCAGCGGGGCTGGGCACAGTTACAGCATAAACAGGGATTTATTGCTGGGCACCTTCCTCATCCTCATCCTCCTGGGGCTGCCTGCAGCGGGGCTGGGCACAGTTACAGCATAAACAGGGATTTATTGCTGGGCACCCTCCTCATCCTCCTGGGGCTGCCTGCAGTGGGGCTGGGCACACTTACAGGCATAAACAGGGATTTATTGCTGGGCACCTTCCTCATCCTCATCCTCCTGGGGCTGCCTGCAGCGGGGCTGGGCACAGTTACAGGCATCAGAGGGGATTTATTGCTGGGCACCTTCCTCATCCTCATCCTCCTGGGGCTGCCTGCAGCGGGGCTGGACACAGTTACAGGCATAAACAGGGATTTATTGCATGGCCTTGGCAGAGTACACCACAGGCAGGACAGGAGCCTGAGGGAGGCTCTGTTAGTGTGGAGGAAGAAATGGAAAATATTAATCACAATATATCACAATGTACAGCAGCCTCTGGTACGAAACAAGCAGGTAAAGCACCTGTGGGTAGGGTTATGGAAACCACAAAGCCCTGAGCTCCAGGCACACTGCAGCTGCCAAAGGCATCCCAAGGGGAACACAAAATTGCCACAACATGGCTGCCTCTGTGGCCTTTTCCTTGGAAGCAGCCTCAGCCCTAGGCTGGTTTTACTGCCTAGGCCACTCTGGGGTGTTGCAGCTCCCCAGCAAATTCTAGGGCATTTAATGGACTTAACAAAGCAGCCCAGAGCATTGGGAGCAGCCCTGGTTTCAGGCACCTCCAGTGTGACCTGGGAAATCTGAGTCAGATTGCTAATCCCGGATTTTGTCCTGTTTAGCAAAACAGACCCCACGGATTAATTGCTGAGCTGCCCCCAAACAGGGCAGGGTTGGTGCCCAGCTAAATCTCCTGGCCTGTCAGACATGGGGATAAATAAGCAGAGATAAATGAAGTCTGGGCTGCAGATCCCCTAATTGGATTGCACTGGCTCCTTACACCCTCAGTTGTGGCCCAGACAAGGAGTAAATCCATTTGATTTCACAGCTGGGGGGGCTCGTGGCCCTTCAGATGGGCCTGGCACCACCAAAGTGTCCAAATGCAAGCACTAAGCCTGTCTGAATGGGCAGGGCCGGTGCTGGAAGGTGATTACAGAGCAGATTGCTCGTCTGCTCTGGGCAGGAGGAGCTGAGAAAATCTTTGTGGTGCATCCCAGTGACCTGGGGAGAGCTGGCACAGCCCTGCCACGTCCAGCTGTGCCTTGGCTCAGGGCCCTGCTGCAAGGTTTGCCCCAGAGGCTGCAGTTAAACATTCTGTGCCTGTCTCAGGGCTGTGCATCATCCATGCAGGAGAGATGAGCTGGGCCTTGGAAATCTGGGAAAAAAACCACAAATGGGGGCTGAGGCACCTTGTGAGTGCAGTTTGCTGTGGTTTGGGCAATACCTGCACAGCTGCAGGACTGAGGGAAGGGTTTCCTTCAGGGACTCCTCCTCCAGCTGGGCTTTTATATTTTATTATTATTCAGGATTCCCCAAAAGTGCTGGGCTGATACTTGCCCCAGTGCTCAGCTCAGGATTCCCTGTCCCTGGCCATCCCAGTCCCTGCTGTGAGGTTGGGAACTTTTCCTTCTCAAAGCAGCCCCACTTGAGCACAGCAGCCTGGTTTTATTCACTTTATTTCCTTCAGGCACTGGTACCAGTGAACTTGCTGTCCTGGGGATGGCAGCTCCAGCGTTGTTTTTCCTCCCTGGGCAGGGAGCAGAGTGAGCACCTATCAAATGCCACGTTTTCACAATTTTTGCCTTTATTTTTCCCCCCTTTTCCTGCAGGAGAACTTCCAGTCAGTGTATAACTGGCAGTACATCCACTGCCTGTACTTCTGGTGTCGAGTTCTCAGCACCATCCACCCCAGTGAGGTCATGGAGCCCCTCATCTACCCCTTGACACAGGTCATCATTGGCTGCATCAAGTGAGTGGGGTTCCTCATTCTTTTTGCTCTGCTTTGGTGTGTTATTTTACACTTCTGTGATTTGGATTTAACCATGAATGGTCTTTCAATTGAAATTTTCCAGCCCAAGGTGTGTGTGAGCAGCTGTTTAGGGGGTGACAGAGTTGTGGTGTGGGTTATTCTTTTTTCTCTATACAAGAAAAGTCTCAGCCTGAATAACCTGGGCAGATTATCCTTGTAACTGCAAGGAAAATGATCCAGAAAATCCTCATCTGCAGCTCTGTAAATGCATTTAGAAGCTGCATTTTTGGTGCCTGTTTGTTGGGACTGGAAGAAGTGGGCCACAGTTGTTATTTTCAGGATGTCTGCTGAGAATTCCCTCCTCACATCAGCTCACATGGATGAAATGTTTGTGCTCTGAGGTGCCTGTTAACATTAGCATTGAGGGAGTTTGGGGATCTCTGGTGATCTCCCAAATCCTGTTAGCTCTGCTAACCAGATTCTCAGCTCTAAAGCCAGCTCTGGAGGAGCTCCCCACGGTGATGGAGATAAGCAGATTTAAACGATCAGATAAGAGGATGCAAACATCCCCCTGGCACCCCTGCTCTGGGATGGGTGCAGGCACCTCCCTCCCTGCCCAGCACATCACCCTGGGGCTGGGGCTGGGGCCAGGGCACGGGGTGAGGCCCAGCAGGGTTTGAGCAGCTTGGCATGAGCTGCAGGAACTGCCTGGCGAGGCTCTGGGGGTTTGGGAACCCCCCAGGTGGGTTTGGGGTCACTCACTGTGCCCTTCCAGGAGCTGAAGCAGCTGCAAGGGAGATGGAGAGAGGATTTCCAAAGCATGGAGGGACAGGACACAGGGAGTGGCTCCAAACTGAGACAGGGGCTTCAGATGAGAGAGCAGGAAAACATTCCTGCCCCTGAGGGTGGGCAGGCCCTGCAATGGATGTCCCAGAGCAGCTGTGGCTGTCCCAGCCCTGGCAGTGCCCAAGGTCAGGCTGGACAGGGCTTGGAGCAGCCTGGCACAGTGCAAGGTGTCCCTGCCATGGCACTGGGTCAGCTTTAGGTCCCTTCCAACCCAAACCATTCCCTGATTCTGTGATTCCAGCATTGGGAAAACAGAGTCAGATCCCACTGGATCCCCTCTGAGCCAGGCTGGGCTGTGGAGGAGGCACTGGCAGCTCTGGGGACTGTGGCTCTGTGGGACAGACCCTGTGCCTTTATTTAATCTTTTTATTTATTATGTTTATTTTTATTTATTTTTATTTAATAATTTAGGTTTATTTACTATTTTATTTCTTTTTATTTAATATTGCAAACATGTATTTTTATTTAATATTTTATTATTTTATTTAATATTTTATTTTCATTTAATATTTTAATTTTAATTTAGTTTTAGTTAGTATTTTTATTTACTATTTTCTTTTATTCTTTTTATTGAATATTTTAATATTTTTATTTATATTTAATATATTTATTTTTATTTCTTTTTATTTAATATTCTTATTTTTATTTAATATTTTTATTATTTTATTTTGTTTAATATATTTCTTTTTATTTGTTTTCTTTAATATTTTAAATTTTAATTTTATTTAATATTTTTAATTTTATTTAATATTTTTATTTCTTTTTATTTCATATATTTTTATTTATTTAAGATGTTAAAATTTATTCTTAATCAGTATTTTAATTATTTTTAATTTTTATTTAATGTTTTTATTTATTTTTATTTCTCTGTTTCTGCTGCCCAGGCTGGTGCCAACGTCTCGGTTCTACCCCCTGCGCATGCACTGCATCCGTGCCCTCACGCTGCTGTCGCAGAGCACCAGGACCTTCATCCCCGTGCTGCCCTTCATCCTGGAGGTGGGTTGGTGCCTGCTGCACGCCCCCACAGCAGCTCTGGGGTCCCCCTCCCTCAGAGCCCTGGCAGGCAGCGCCACCATTGCTGAGGAAATAGAAAGCAGAAACTGGAATTCAGTTTTACGGTGTGGGAGCTGTGCCTGGAGCAGCTGGGTGCAGCGTGGCCCCCCAGGCACAGGGGGAATCCAGAGCTGCAGGAATTCCCCAGCCCCATCCTGCTGCTGTGGTCATCTCTGGGGAGGGCACAGTGGTTCCTGACTGCAGACAGCGGGAAATGGAAGGAAAAAAACACTTCAAGAATGAAAAAAACTTACACATATCTTCCTGAAGGAGGCCTGGGAGCTGAGAAAATGGAATTGCTGCATCCCAGCTCCCTGCCCACTCCCCACGTGGCAACTGGGAGTGCCAGAAATCCCTGAATCCCTCTCCTTCCTGCCTGTCCTGCCCTCAGTCTGCCTGTGGTTTCCTGGTGAGGTTTTGTGGCCGCTGGTCCCTCATTATCCCCTCCCAGCCTGCCCCCAGGGTTCCTGGACATCAGTGGGGCTGTGCCCAGCCTGGCTGCCAGCCCTCAGCGTGGGAGCCACCCTTCCTCCCTGCCCTGAGGCCCTGCCACCTCCTGGGCACTGCCAGCGCCCCTGGCTGCCCTCCCCTGCCTGCCTGGAGGGTGCCAGGGAGCCCCAGAGGCTGACCTGGGGATCAATAGCTCTGTTTGGGGCACAGAAATAACTGTGCATAACAAGGTTTGTGCCATCGATCCCCCAGGCAGGGGCTCTTTGTTTGCACTCCTGTCCCTCCCTCCCAGAGAACCTGGATTGACAAATAAAATGTCAGGAATCAATAGCAGCCTCCTGCTCCTGTGGCCTGGGGGCACTGCTGTGACCTGAGCAGCCTCTGCCTCCTGTCAGCCTCCCTGTGCTGCATCCCCACCACGGGGATGGGCTGCTGATGGATCTGCTGCTGCTGCTGCCACAGGGAGGAGAAATGGTTCCCTGCTCTGGAGGGCAGTCCCAGAGTGTTGGGGCACTGGAGAGAGGAGCTGGGGCTGCTCACCCCTCTGTGGGTGCCAGCAGATGTCATCAGCTGGTGGCTTTTTTGTGTTTAAATGACATTGGAGCCTCCCCTGATGGCCCCATGGGAGCTGCCTCAGAGCCAGTGCTTGGAGCAGGTGTCCTGGGACAGTGATTTCAGTGACCATAGTGAATTGGGTGTGAGCATCCCTTAGCCTTGCTTTGGAACTCTCCTCACCTTCAGGGACAGCTCCAAACCCACTCCAGCTCTGGGGTGCAGCCTCTGACCGTGACAGAGTGGGGCTGAGGAGCAAACCCCAGCTTCCTGTGCCCTTGCCTGTGTTGGTTTCCTCTTCACACCCCAGCACCTTGCACAGCCAGGGCTCCACAGCCTCAGCTGGGGCTTTGTTTGCTCCCTCCCGTCCCTGCCTGGGATATTTGGGAAACCTGTGGGGCAGTGAGCAGGAATTGGGGTTCCTGGGTTGTTTTCTTGGCTCTGCCACCACCTGCCCTTGGCTGAGTTGTGTGCTGGTTGATTTGTGCTGTGATCACCTTTAAACTCTGTTTTTCTTCCTCTTTCAGGTTTTCCAGCAAGTGGATTTCAACAAGAAGCCAGGACGGATGAGTTCCAAGCCCATCAACTTTGCTGTGATCCTGAAGCTCTCCAATGCCAACCTGCAGGAAAAGGCCTTCAGGGTGAGTGGGACCTGGGCTCCCTGTCCCCAGAGGAACGTGCCCCATGTCCCTGTCCCCAAAGGAACGTGCCCCGTGTCCCTGTTCCCAAAGGCTGGACAGCCTTTCCCAGGCTGTGGGTTTGGGTGCTGTAGGAATTCTGTGGGGTTCAGGTCGTTCCCAGTCCCATGATTTGTGTTTCTCCTGCTCAGGATGGGCTCATTGACCAGCTCTATGACCTGCTGCTGGAGTATCTGCATGGCCAAGCCCACAGCATTGGCTTCCCAGAGCTGGTTCTGCCCACTGTCATCCAGGTAAGGGGCAGGCACTTCTGGGGGTGCCATGAATGTGCACAGGGTGGGGTGAAGTGATTTAAACTAACAGTGACCTCAGGATGGCCCTCAGAATGACGGGAGAGTCACTTACCTCTGCTTAATTTTAATTTTAATTTGTATTTGCGTTTTGGGGGAGAACAGAGGCATCCCATCCAGTTAGGCTGGAGGCAGGGGAAGGTGCTCTGGAGTTTGCCATCTGTTGGGAGCCAGAGGCTGCAGAACTGCCCTGGGATGGGGCTGGGATGGTGAACTCAGCTGAGTTCTTGGGCATTCAGAGCTGTTGCTGTGGGGTCTGGGAGCAGAACCTGCTTTTCCTTATGCTCAGCCTCCCCGAGGTGCTCTCCACAAGATGGCAATCTTCCCTGCCAGTCTGGCATTCCCAATCTTCCCTTCCCAATCTCTCCTTCCAGTTTTCCCTCCCCATTCTTCCCTCCCCTCTCAGGCTCCCTCACCTGGAGCTGCAGACAGCCCAGCTCAGTGTGCCACTGTTGGGATGTGTTCCCTCATTCCCTCTGCTGTAACTCAGGGATGGCTGCTGTCACATCCTGTGTGGGGACACGAACCTGTGCTTGTCCTGCTGTGTGCCACCAGCCCCTGCACACCTTGGGGTGTCCCTGGTGCTGGGGGAGCCCTGGCTGTGCCCCACAGGCTGGTTGGGAAGCAGAATCCCTGCTGAGGGCTGGCATCTGTCAGGGGCTGGCATGTGCCAGGCTCTTGGCTGTGTGCCCTGGGCTGGCACAGGGGCTGCCTTGGCTGCTGGGAGCTGGCAGAGCAGCTCCTGAGCCTGTGGCTGTGCCTGTCCCCCCTGTTGGCAGCCCTGTGCTGCAGCCAGCAGCTCTGGGAGCTGTGCAGGGCATCGCTGCATTGCTGCATTCCTGCATCGCTGCATTGCTGCATTGCTGCCTGGCTGCTCTGCCCACAGCCCCGAGGCGTCTGCCAGGCTGGGGCTGCCCTTGGCTCCCAAAAGCTGCCTGGGGAGAGGATTTTCTCCTGGAGAGCTTCCAGCCCAGCCCTGCTTCCATCCGTGTGTGCCCAGCCTGCCTCCCTCCCTGCTGGGCTGCTCCAGCTGCCAGGGGCTCTGTCCCTCCTCCTCCTCCTCCTCTTCCTCTGCTCTGGGGGGAGCTGGGCTGAGCTTCCCAGGCTCAGCTTCCCACATTCTCTGCTGCAAGGCAGGAAGCCCTGGCAGATGAAAGGAGAGCCAGTGGGGATGGGAAACACTTCAAAGCTGCTGCTGCTGCTGGCCCAGGGCTGACCCGTGGGCTCTCTGCCTGCAGGGGCTGGGGGGAGAGCCCCTGCCCTGCCCGCAGCTCTCCTGTCCCCAGGGCAGTGTCCCTGTGCCAGCAGGGAGCTGGGCAGGGTTTGGCTCCCCTGCAGCACTTCCAGTCAGAGCAGCTGGGGTTTTGCTCTGTGGGTTTCAGGCTGGCACTGGGACAGAAGCAGCCCCAGTAATGACAGGGCTGGGCTGGGAAGCCTCAGTGCCGTGTCCACAGACACACGTGGGTGTGCTGAGTGCTGCACTCTGCTGAGATCCCCTTGTTCCATTTGGCAGAGCAGGGAAAAGCACACACAGACCCTGATTTTCCCCTCTCTGTCCTTTATCCTCTTCTGCTGCCCTGGTTGTGTCCCTGCCTCTCCAGCCAGGGCTGAGATCTCGTTGGGTTCCATTAATTTCTGTGCAGGGGTGGGACTGTGAGGGGAGCAGGGATGGAGCAGGGGCTGTGCAGGGATGGAGCAGGGGCTGTGCAGGGATGGAGCAGGGGCTGTGCAGGGAGCACACAGCTCCAGAGTGCCCTGGCAGAGCCCAGGACTCTGCAGGATTTCTGGTGACACTTGTGCAAGGGAAGAAAAATGATAATGGATGTGGCAGCGGATGGAATGGCTCTGGGGCTGCAGCTGGGGGATCAAGTGAGATAAATCCAGTGACAAATGCGTCTCTCAGTGGAGATAAATATGCAGCACCTATAAAAAATAAATATTTTAGGAAGGGGGGGTGAGGGCAGGACAGGCTTCAGCAGCAGAGGGATTGTGCTGATGGTTTCTTTGTGCTTTGGGAAGGTCTGGGTCTGCATTCCCATTTTTCTGGGCTGGTGCTGTGCTGGCAGCTGGGGTGTGCTGGAGGGACAGGGACATCCCTGCCATGGCTTCAGTTCTTCTGTCCCTTTCCTCCTGCAGCTGAAATCCTTCCTGAAGGAATGCAAGGTGGCCAACTACTGCAGGCCCATGAGGCAGCTGCTGGAGAAGCTGCAGGAGAACTCAGCCCACATCTGCAGCAGGAGGCAGAGAGTGACCTTTGGAGTGGCCAGCACGGCTGCTGTGGTGAGCCTGGGGACAGCCTGGGGATGGCATGGGGACATGGGACAGCCTGGGGACAGCCTGGGGACAGCATGGGGACATGGGACACAGGGATGGCATGGGGACATGGGACAGACATGGGGACAGCATGGGGACACAGGGACACAGGGATGGCATGGGGACATGGGACACAGGGATGGCATGGGGACATGGGACACAGGGATGGCATGGGGACATGGGACAGACATGGGGACATGGGACAGACACTTTTCCACTTCAGCCTTTGGCTCCCTGTGTGTTCCCTGCAGTCCCCAGGCCTGGGGACAGTTCTCAGTGCCACCACTCCTGACCCAGCTGCTGCCTCAGTATCTGAGGCTCAGTTCACAAATGCACTGAGTCCTGCTGGCCCCCACATTGCCCAGGAGCTGGGCAAGGGTCCCCACCTTGTGCCCCTGGCTGCCTGTGCTGGCTGGAAAGTGCCTGGAAACCCTTGGAATGTGTGTGTGTGTGCCTTTGTCCACAGGAGCAGTGGGAGAAGCAGCTGAAGGAGGAGGGGACGCCCCTGAGCAGGTATTACACACAGTGGAAGAAGCTGAGGGAGAAGGAGATCCAGCTGGAGATCAGTGGCAAGGAAAGGGTGAGCAGCAAACCCTGGGTGTGACCCTGGGGACAGCCAGGGG